GCTTAAATAAACTCACATTTTGCCTTAAGGCAGTAGAAACAGAAACATTAAGAAGTAATGAGCAGTGGAGAATAAAAACGGACAGAAACCTGTGTTTGAATACTGGGTAAAAACTTCCATGTGTTAAAAGTAAGTGTTAAAGTACTTCAAACCTAAATCAACAGCATGTTTATCATTTAAAATACTCATTTGAGTCAACTAAATGCATACAAATGGAATTCCATCATAAATCTGTACTAATTACAAGGAGCTTTCCTGAAAGCATCACAGTCAGCTCTGAGGAAGAAATTGCAAATTTCAGTGGAAAATCATTAGAAAGGAGACGCTGTAACCAAAATTAACGGTCAAATTTAATTATTTCTGGGCCGTAAAGGTGCGACGTCTTTTTGATTTCAGGAAAAAAAAATCTATCTGATAAAAGTTCACGAACTAAAGTTAAAAAAAAAGTTTATTTATACGTTACAGAGCTGATTTTCACTTAAATGTTTCAAAGAAAAACTTTAATGGCAACTAAATATTAACATTTAGGACACAACGTTAAATTGACCCTAAAATTGAGCTTCTTGTTTAAAGCTATTTAATAATTATTAGTGACAATTCATACAATTTCAAAGACATAGAGCAGCAAAGTAAAATATTTAAAAACAATTCAATTTGCAACAGACTACTGTTTCAGAGAGAAATAATTTACTTAAAAAAATGGACATATTAAAAAAAAAAGAACTGAATAATAAGTTATTTACTCTAAAATGAAGCACAAACAGGTTTCTGGATAAAAAGAAAAACTGAAATGTGGCAAAAAATTAATAAAGGTTATTATTTTGCTTTTCATTAAGTGCAATAAATAAAATAAATCTTTGTTTAAAACTGCACTTGAGGTTAATTATTTGAAAATGAATCCAACTTTGATCACACGTATTGGGTTGAGTGATGTAAAAACAAGTTTTAATGTCAATGTAAAAGCTGGAGTTTGCAATAAAAACGAGAGAATATAAAAAAACAACCGAAATCATAAAGCATATAAACTTATTACAGCGATGAAGTGGAAATTTCTGTTTTATTGTTGCGGTTTATGTGATTTAGTTGTTAGGTGTTTAACCAACAGATAAACACAGATTTTATTTTTTAGAGGAAAATATATGCTGCTGCAGAAAAGTCCAAAACCTAATTTATAAAAGAACTTTTAGAATTAGTTGCAATCGTTAAAAGAAAAAAACGACAAAAGTGTAAAGCAAAACAGTACACCATCAAAATCCAGCTGTCCAATCCTTTAATAACATAAGAAAACTAAACCCTTTCAATTTTGTACGTTAAAAAAGATCATTTAAAAAGAAGAAACATTTATTACTAAATCATAGCCTTTATTTTGTATTATATTTTAGAATTTCAGACAATACAAAATTAGTTAAACCTCTAAGTATTGAAAAGTCTCATGCAACAAATAGGAATAAAAGAGATTAAGTGTTAACATTAAATGAATAGAAACAAATAAGATCTTATATACTTTATATTGTTGCTGTTAAAATAATAAAATTTGCACCGAAAAAACGTTTCCCAATAAATTATTTGCCCTTAAAAAAAAAGAAAAAAAAAGTTAATAATTTAGATTTAAATGCAAGTCAAGAGTAAATTTGATAAAGTTTTCTCAGTGAAGTTCAGAGTGTCCCAGCAGCCTGAAGCTGCACGGCAGCTCGCCTGGCGTGCGGCTCACTGGGACAGACCTGTCGTCTCACTGAGATTACCGGGTCCTTTCACTCCTTTTCTCTACTTACAAATGTATATTAAAGCGTGTAATTCATCCCCTCCAGCTCCACGGATTCCTGTTAATCTTATCTCCTCTCAATATTATTCTCATTCTGCTTGGGCGGTCGGCTCCAGCAACAATCAGCGAACAAGCTTTTAACCCAACTGGACAGAGGGGTGGGGGGGGGGATACACACTTTGCTTTGCAGAGGTGCAAGGTAAATCAATCAGGCATGCTCTGGATGAGGCTCAGAAATAGCAGCATGCACGATGCGCTTACAGAATAACTTGCACCTGCTTGGTTAAGTCTACAAGGCTAAAATCGAACGACTAAAAAAAGTACACGAGGTGAGTTGGAGTAAAAAAATAAATAAAAATAACGAAGCGCCAGGAAAAGAAAGCACATCTGAGTTAATAGGAAAAAGTTTGTCGCCTAGACTTGTTAGGTGAAAGAAAACGTGACGAGAGCATAACAATGAAATCAAAGAATAAAAAGAGCTAAAATGCGAGGCAACAGCTGGGTTAAGAAAGAAAAGTGGCAGGAGGAAAGAGAAACAAGGTGCACCTACTGGTTATGATAGCTGAGAGGGTCTGGAAGACAAAGTTCGGAAATGTCCATCAGTCCAGTTTTAGCATTCCAGGAATGAGAGGAAGAGGAAAGAGAAAACAACTGAGACCCGCTTCTTCCCCAAATGATGGCACAGCACCCTCAGAGACAACGCAGCCGAAAAGCCCCTCCAGCACCGCTCCCCCCCAGCCAGCACAGGTATGTCAGGCTCTGATGAATTGAGAGCGTATGCATGTGTATGTGTATGTGTGTGAGAGAGGGAGAGAGAAAGAGTGTAAGTGAATGTGTTACGGAGAGAGAGAGAGCGGGGGAGAGGGGGGAGGGACGGATAGACAGAGAGGTAAAAGGGGGTGAGAGACAGAGGAGCGCAGGCGGCAGCGGGATGAGCGCGAAGATGGAGGGAGCATGAGAGTGCGAGCGAGAGGAATGACTCTTTCCATGCTCGGGATAGGGCTCTTTAAGACTCAAGGGCTTGATGAATATGGAACAGCTGCTGTTGGCTGGCTCCGAGGGGCAGGACTTAAAGCGACAGAGGGGCCGGCGGAGCACCGGGGAGGAGGGATCCGGGCGCTCGCTCGCACTCTCCGCTACGCAACGGCAGACGAAACGCGTTCGCACACGAACAGCAGAGATGCAACGAAGAAAAACGCCACAAGTCATCTCCGTTTGCAAAAAATAAAAAGATGCTCAAACTCAAACATTTAGATGTGAAGAGAAACTTATTTGCAATTTTAAAGGGGGAAACAAAAGAATCATGTCAGCATCAACCTGATACTTTCTACTAAACTTTATGAAAACATGCCGCTTGATTAATTTTATTATTGCTTCAATAATATGCAACGGCACAAACAGCAACCAATACGAAACTTTAATAAGCCTCACTTAAGTTCACTATAAACGACGTCCCACTCACAAATATCCTTTAAAGACTCCCATCAAATCTGACGCTGCACAACAGAAAGTTCCAGGAATTCATCCGTAGCGCGTTATTTTCTAAAAGTAACTTTCAGGCGCAAAGTGCAAACGCACTTATTGAACTGCGTCGTTCAGCTCCGTTCATGTGTCGAATGGCGAGGGAGCATTGTGCACCCATCGCCACCTGTGAGCGATGATCTCAAGCCATAACTCATCCTCTGGAAGCCCCTCGGCTTCTAAAGCAGCGGAAAATCCAGCTCTGTCTTCTCTAACCCCAGCTTTAGGAGCGCCTGTGTTTCAATGTTGATCGAGCCCAGTAAGAATGCAGAGAATGCAGATAGCGTTTCAGAGTCAGCGAGGGTCTCTGTGTTACTGTATCCGCACATTATAAGAACAGAGCTTACCATGGCATCTTGACAGTTGGCTGAGTCAAGCATGAAGAAACGGCAGCTTGCCCACTTCTCAGAAACCCACAAGGTGCCTTGCTGGCGGTCCTCTCAGCCTCTTCGGTGAAAAGACACAAGAAAGCGAGGAAGAGTGGAGATCTACCAGACGAATCGAGCAAGAAAAAAAAAAAAAGTGTTGCATCACTGCTGCTCTTCAGTTTTCTCTGCTGAACAGGATCAGCAGAACCCCTGGAGAGGAATCAAGTTCCATTCGCCGGCTCACGTTTCTATAATCGATGCAAAAACATCACACAGTCCCTATTGATCATCACAGGCCTACTGATGTGCAGCAGCGGTGCCTCGACTCTGGCAAAGACCACGCAGCATCTGGACCCTGTTTGTAACCAAACCAACTAAATACACGACAATCTTATCGAGATCGATGACAAATCAGTTTCATTCGTTAAAGACGAGTTAAATCCTTCTAAAACACAACTCGTAGATCTCAAAATGTTTATGCACGAGGATAAAACAAGACAAACGCATTTATAAAACCAAAACTTACCACTTAATACGTCAGATTATAAAGTCAAATTAACGTTCTCGTGATAGATTTCATCAGACAAATCCCTTTACTGCATGTTTTACCTCGAAAAGACCAGACAACTTTTGTCAAGCTGTCAAAATCTATTATTTAAAAATAAAATCACTGCCTGGCATCAGATACACAGCAGGCACACACTTGATCGTGTCATTTAAAAAGAAAAAATAACATATCTGTATGCTGTTTGTTGCCTTTAATGACTTATATTCTTGTCAGGATTTATTTAATACGTAAACATAAAATTTGCTTGTGTGTTTGTGCACAAAAACTGATGAGAATAAAATTAATGCACTTTGCATGAAAAGAAGCTTTACGCACTGCTCATAAAAATATGCTTAAATGTTGTTAGTTTAAAAACTTTTAAAATACTTAAAATCAACACTAATATAGTCATAGGATCAATTATGTATAGAAAGAACTATACGCGAGGATTTCAGATTAAAAGTCTTAGATGCACTAAATAAATTAAAATACTCCTTAAATTTGCTTCTCAGTTTCAAGCTTGTTTTTTTTTTTTAAGTTTTATGAGTAAGTCCATTGCAAGTTTCCAAACAAATTTTATTATTTGAACAATTTTGTTATGAAATTCTTCATACAATTAACAGCTAGGCCTCAACCGGAAATAATAAAATCAATACAACAATCCACTGTTCCCAGGGGGAAAGTAGGGCACGTGCATGTCTTAATTAGTGCCAAGCCGCGCGTGCAAACTGTTCTAAAAGACCAAAGCGACCGAAAACGGGGAGAGCACCATATTGTGTGTCGAATGTTGATGAACGTGTACCTTACTCGGACAAGTCATGTCCTGTCATCGTGCCCCCGCCGGCTGGACACACTGCGGGCTGGGTGAAGGTCGCCTCCAGGTTGTGGTGAAAGTGGTGACGGTGGTGATGTGGCTGCGCGCGCCGTTTAACCGTCACACACCGCGGCCGGCGCTGTCAACTCCTCCTCCGGTGCGCGCCGTGGGGTAAACCAAACACCCACCTTCCTCGTCCACCAACAAAAGTACCCCCACGGAAAACTTGGGGTGTGTTATTTACACGTTTGTGAACCGAGTGTGTGTGCGGAGCTCTGTGCGTTTCTCCGCGGGACGTGGTGGGCGGGCTCTCACCTGAGAAAGCGGCAGGTGAGACTGGCGGCTTCGGTTTCCACTGCTGATGAATAAAGTAAGAAGACAATAAGAAGCGTCGCGTGACGTCTGCCTGCAGAGATCACAGCCTCTGTATCAAGTAACAGCTTGCACGAGACGCAATTGTTTTGAGTTTTGATTTAAATATTTACACGGGTATGTATTGTCTGTGTCGTTTGGAGCCCAGGTTATAAAGACGCTAAAGTCGCGCGTGTCTGTTAGCAAAATATCTCATGATCCACTGAACGGGTTGCGTTGAAACCTTCAGTAAGAACTCATTAGATGTTCAGCTACATCTGATTAACTTCCGGAGTCAACCAGATTCAATATGGCCGCCACAGCAAGGCAATTGTAGCAAACATAAACATATCTATAACTCAGCCAGTTGTGCAGATATTAAACTAAAATGTGGTGTAGTTGTAGTTGAGACTGATCCTCTGCGTGTACTTTGAGTGCTAAGTGATCGCACAAGATCTGTGTTTAAAACTTTGCCATGAACTATTGGAATCAACTGTCGGTCTGTTAGCGGAATATCTCGCGAACCATTGGATGGATTTTAATGAAACCTTCAGAGAGTAATCAATGAATATACATCTATAACTGATTAAATTTCGGAGTCAATCCAATTCAAGACGGCGTCCACCGCCAGCTGATTTCAGAAAATAACACCATGGTTGTATCTCAGCCGATTGTGCAGATATTAAGTTAAAACGTGTTGTGGTAGTAGCTGAGCATCACCCCCAACTCATGCTTGGAGCAGCACATTGTCTTGACCTTCTCAGCAAAAAATCTCAAGCCACTCAATCTCAAAAAAATTAAGGTTGAACGAACAGGATGAACTTAAACGAAACATTCAGGAATAAATTATTGGATGTTCCTCTATAATTGATGAACTTTTGGAGTCAACCCAATTCAAGATGACTGGCACGTCCAGTTGACTTTAAGAAAACACAAAAACAGCTACAATCGGCTCATTTTACAGGTGCTGAGCTAAAAATTTGGCGTGGTGGTAGCCGGTAGTCGTTTCCAGGGCTAACAGTGATGCAAGCTCACATAAGATATCATGCACCTAAAAAGTTATGTCCCAGGTTTGACCAAAATGTTTATAACTGTTCCTTTTCGTCATTAAATAAACTCTGGCATGAAATGCGGCGGGTGATTTGCATTCCTTCGAGAAAGACTTTTAATGAAAATAGATTTCAGTGGGATTTTAAAACTCCTCTCTCTCCTCTTCCGCCCACACTGGCTGGTTGTCTCAGCTGTGGAGCAGAGCTGACAGCAAACAACTCTTAATCATCTCCACTAGAGGGAGGGCTGCAGCACAACAAGGCCACCAAGCAGCTGCAGCAGAGGTACCCTTATTTAGTTTTATTTATTTATTTATTTCCCTCCAGTGTAATTCATAAACTGGATGAATGACAACCAGGACAGTGCCAACATCCAGGCACACAAAGGAGACCTGAGTGCATTTTCCTTGGAATACAAAAACCTATCCATTACAAACGTGTAATTATTGCCCTTAATAGATTAATTCATGCCGAAAGATAGAAATGGGTTCCAGGCTATTGATGTAATTATTTCAGCGAGGAAATTAAGTGACATTAAAAGAATGATATTGTCACCACCAAAGTATCATTGATTCTTTTCGAATGCAATTAACTGTATTTGAAAATGAGACCCTGCACGCTGAGCCGTGCACGGAGCACCGAGGATCACTTCATTTGTGAGAGATATAAAGACCAAATTATCCCATCAAAGAGGAAAATCTATAAGTGTAATGGCACAGAGCCTCTGCACCACAGCTACCCTGCGCAGTTCCACATGAACCACAAGTGATCGTCTCACAGACTGTGTATACAGAACAATATTTTAGGAATTCATACCAGAAATCAGAGGTTTGAGTCAAGAGTGGAGAAGTAATTCAAAGTATCTCTGCAATAACGCTGAAAAAAAGTGAATCAAAAGATAGCACCATATAGGCCAAAGGTCAGGTGATTGTGGGATGTTGTGAAGAACTGGTAGCCCATGATGTAGGCAGTGGAGATGCCCACTATAAGTGACACTTCAAACAGGGTGGTCCCAAATATCTTCAGGTAAGTTAGAACTCTGGCACTTCATCTATAAACAAAAGGAACAGATTAAGTTTGGTGAGGCTGTTGTTAAAGTGTTATGATAAAAGGAAAACTTGACATTTTTATTCGACTTTCAGATATTCATCACAGGATCTGTTCATCTTAAAGAGTTTCAAATATGTCCAGAAAACAGGGTTTTGATCATTTTGGTTAAGAGATTTCAGGGAAACAAGACTTTTTTTTTTCTCTGTCTTCATTTTCTAGCTTTTACTTATCTGGTCAGTCTGATCCTGGTACTCCTTGACCTTACCGTTGCATTTGATACTGTGGACCACAGTATCCTTTCATCCCGGCTAGAACATTCGGTTGAGATTACTGGTGCAGTGTTAGAATGGTTCCGTTCATACTGAGTGACAGGAGTTTCTGTGTTAATGTTGCTAACACTCTATCTACTTCAGTGCCTCTTTCCTGTGGGGTCCCGCAAGGCTCCATTCTTGGACACCTTCTATTTTCATTGTATCTGCTCCCCTTAGGGTCCATCCTGAGGAAACATGGCCTTTCTTTTCATTATGCTGATGATTCTCAGGTTTATCTGCCTTTAAAACCTAACAGTTCCTGCTCCTTTCGCCCTTTGCTAAAATGTCTTGATGACATCAAGACTTGGATGGCTGCAAACTTCTTGAGTTTTAATGATCAGAAGGAGGTCATTGTGTTTAACCCTAGCTCTGCCACTGTCACTGCTCCTGCAAACCTGGACTCCCTTCAGCCATATCTAAAACAGTCTGTTACCAATCTCGGGTTTAGTTTTAGACTCGGACTTTAAGTTTAATAAGCAGATCAACTCAGTTCTTCAAAAAAGCTTCTTTCAGCTAAGGCAGATAGCTAAGCTCAAGTCCGTGCTGTCCAGATCCAAACTTGAAAAATTAGTCCATGCATTTATTACAACCTGTCTGGACTACTGTAACTCTCTTTATGCTGGGGTCAGTCAGGTCTCTCTCTCACGTCTCCAGCTTGTCCAAAATGCTGCAGCTCGGCTACTAACAGGAACTCACAGGTTTGAGCACATTACTCCGGTTCTGTCCTCCCTTCACTGGCTTCCTGTGCATGTCAGAATTGATTTTAAGATTCTTCTGCTGACATTTAAGTGCATCAATGGCCTTGCACCCTCATACCTCTCCAACCTTCTTCATGCATATGCTACTTCTCGGGCCTTGAGATCATCAGACCAGCTGCTTTTGGTGGTACCAAAAACCAGGTTGAAGCTCAGAGGAGATCGAGCATTTTCAGTCACGGGCCCTAAACTCTGGAACAACCTGCTCATCAACGCTCAATTGCCACATCTTCGTGCGAGTTCACTGTGGCAACCCCTGAAGAAGGGAGCAGCCGAAAGAAGAAAAAAAATATCTTTGTAAACGAGCAGACCACTGGAATTAATGCACAACAAAGGTTAAAGCTGATTCGTTTAATTTTTAAACAAAAAACAAATACAGCCATGCAAAGATTTCATTACAAACTTAAAGTTAAGTATTTTAAGATATTTTTTCAGAACAATGTTTTTTTTTTAAAGGAAGAAAAAGTACTCTGTTACTCAGAACTGGTAATGATGGAGCACTTAATCTGCTTGTTTTGCGTCTGATCACAAAAATCCACCGGCTTTTATGGAATTATCGATTAATGCCAAAAGTAATTGCTAGAAATTGATTGAGTATCTTGAAAGTATAAACACATGTCCAGTTGTTTGGTGTTGGTCATTTCCTCCTGAAGTTTACTTGATTGTGGTGAAACTGTCGTAGTTGTGCAAAAACAAAGTATTTAATTTAGCTGAAGTTGACAATTGAAGAAAAGAGCACTTGTTTACATTCCCCATTTTTTCACAACTGGGCAAAATATTTTAACTGAATTTTGAGGTTCTCTTTAATAAAAAAAAATACAAATGATCTATCAGCATATTCAAACTAGAAATAATATATATATATTTTTTTTTTATTCTAGTTTTAGATTCGGAGCCAACATTTACATACAGAGCTCTGTGCATACAGCATTATTGGAAAAAACGCTTTTGGACTGTTGTTGTGTTGTGCGGGCCGTTCTGATGGATTCCAGCAAAAAGCATGTTTGTGCTGCAGCTGCTGGTCCACGCAGCTCCCCTAACCCAATTACAGTGTTGGTAATCCACTGAAAAGACACTCAGAGAAGAGGCAGGCAGAGGGAACAAAAACATGAAACGTATCAAAACACAACTGCTGACGTGATGTCCAAGCATCCATCTCCAGCCCTGGTCAAAAACGCGACATCGTTCAAACCCAAACATTTTTCTTCACAATTCAAACCCAATCAGAGCCGCTCTCCCTCCATCTGCTGTCAGCCACCCCCCGATCCCACCCTTACCTAAATTTCATTTAGGAGACATCTTTCTCCCTATCCCCCCTCGCTCTTGTGCTAGCTCCCTTCTCTTTTTGAATTCAGCACACTGTAGCACTTAGATTTACTTGCTTAACAAATATGGACAGAGGACCTAAGTGTTTTTTTAAATTGTCAAATGGACTTTGGAGAACCTGTGCTGTACTGGGTGACAACAGTCTCTCTGTCTCTGTCACTCACAGCCTAACCTGTGTGTGTGTTTGTGTTTCTGTCTGTTTGTC